TGACCTGTTGCATCATCAAAGATGATGATGATCACTGGACCAAATGGTCAGTGGCCAATGAACTTGACTCTGAGTTGTGGCTCTTTTCGTTTTCGTGTGCACCGCTTTTTTTTGGGGGAGGAGGGGGTGGAGGAGGGGCTCTCCATAGCCTGTCTATTTCAGTATTTTGTCTGAGGTAACGCTGAAGATATATCATTCAATTTTTATACATTTTGAACTTGAATTGCGTGGTGGAGTTTCTTTCTTTATATGAGTTTTCTTAATCTACAGCTTTGGAACACCTGGAATTGAAATAGTCCCCAGCCCTGTGTTTGTTGGCAGCTTCCTAAACCGTGTACTTGTATTATACAAGTTGCAATGGTTTGACTCTTGGTTGTTTATTACTCGTGTGTTCTAAGCACAGTTGTAGGCTGAAACTCTGGAAGAATAATAAATATTTGTCCAGAACCTCCACCGTTTAAATAAGGTGATTGGTGGAATATTACCAAACACATGCAATGATTCCTCAATACTCACTTTCTGCCAGATTTGAAGTGCAATTTATAGCTTTGATTAGGCGATTAACTTGGAATTTAACTTTAGTGTGTGAAAGAGTTCAATCATATGTGTCTTTTTGTTTGAATGACAAAATTCCATCTCAACCGAAACACAAGAGTTTTTCATCTGATTTTCAATGAAATATCGGCATTTTGAGGGACGTTTTAGCTCTCTTTTTTTTTTTTAGTTGCAATTACCCTATTTTGATTGTTATTTTTAGAAATTTTATAAAAAAAATGTTATAACAATTTTATATACAAAAGATAAAATAATAATTAAAAAATTATTTAAAAAGACATAAAAATTTTTTTTTTTAAAAAAATCACAATCCAAACAAGGTTTGGGGGGGGGATCTGGATTCTCATATGAGATTTGTCCTCATTATCCGTAATAAAATACCGTCCAGATATGTTGTCGTGCTTATTAGTTGTCTGCTATTGATTGTCAAACCAACTTATTTGACTTGAAGTGTAAGTGTACAAACTGAACAAAGCTAATGGCAACGACTAAAAATTCCAGCCAGTAGCTGCTTTTCTCACCAACCCATTTAATAGTTAAATTTAAGGGATAATTTCGGAAAACCTCCCTTGAGGTTTTGGACAGCTTCACTTGACCCTCCCAAAATTCTTAATTTTTGGTTAATTGATCGATATAGTTTTTTAATGAAAATTTAAAAGTTGATAATAAGATTGAAAAAACTCTTTAATAGTTTTTGTGTCATTAGTTCAAACAGGAAATGTTAGATAAAAAAAGAAAGGAATGTTAAATAACTTAAAATTACGATGGACTTACAATAATCAAATAACTTGCAATAATTTACAACCATGAGAATACCTTTTTGCATGAGATTAAAAACAATACAAACAAGTTTATGTATAATTTTTAGCATGTTGTATCATTTTACTTTCAAGCCATCTATTTGGAAAAAAATTGGAAAACTCAAAAATATGTAAAAGATTTATAAGAATTATTAAATTAACTCAAAACACTTTACAGTAAAGAAAATATTATCTTTGTAACTTACAAAAAACATTCATACTTTTTGTTTTTGTTTTTCATTTGTTATTAATATACTCAACATTTTGGTAATAAAAAGTAAGACAACAATAGGGAAAATTTAGAATGAGGTTATATTTACTCTCTCAAAATGAATTTTTTAATATTTCTCAAACTTAAAAAAATCTCACTTGCTTCCCTTATTTTGGATTTTTTTTATCATTTATAACCAATTTTAAAAAAATCTCACTTGCTTCCCTTATTTTGGATTTTTTTTATCATTTATAACCAATTTTAAAATATAATATTAAAAATTCATTTTGAGAGAGTAAATATAACCTCATTCTAAATTTTCCCTATTGTTGTCTTACTTTTTATTACCAAAATGTTGAGTATATTAATAACAAATGAAAAAAACAAAACAAAAAGTATGAATGTTTTTTGTAAGTTACAAAGATAATATTTTCTTTACTGTAAAGTGTTTTGAGTTAATTTAATAATTCTTATAAATCTTTTACATATTTTTGAGTTTTCCAATTTTTTCCAAATAGATGGCTTGAAAGTAAAATGATACAACATGCTAAAAATTATACATAAACTTGTTTGTATTGTTTTTAATCTCATGCAAAAAGGTATTCTCATGGTTGTAAATTATTGCAAGTTATTTGATTATTGTAAGTCCATCGTAATTTTAAGTTATTTAACATTCCTTTCTTTTTTTATCTAACATTTCCTGTTTGAACTAATGACACAAAAACTATTAAAGAGTTTTTCCAATCTTATTATCAACTTTTAAATTTTCATTAAAAAACTATATCGATCAATTAACCAAAAATTAAGAGATGAATTTAGTGTATTATGATAATTAAGAAATCGCTAGAAAAGGGCAAATTTGGAATGAAATAGTATTCTCTCTTTCAAAATGAGTTTTTAATATTATATTTTAAAAGGTGTTTCAAATGTTATAAACAAGTTTAAAGTAGGAGAGCCAAGTGAGATTTTTCAAAAGTTTGAAGGTACCAAATGAAACTATTAGAAACCTTAGGGGAGGTTTCTAAAATTATCCCTAAATTTGATGCTCCCGAGCTTGGTAAAAGATATGTCATCATAGAAAAACAGCTGCGTAGCTCTTAAGCATATGTTACAATCACGTACTTTTTTCTTTTGAAAACCTTGCATGCTTGATCCTCTTTATACTGCTTTCGGTGGCTGAAAAACATGTTCCAGTTCCCCTTCTGCAGACCAAGATTTGTTTCCCAGAATAATAAGTCTGCTTGGGATTTTCCTCCACAGCTACTACTACAGGAAAAAGAGCTACTTTACCAGCTTTGGGTGGATTTAGACCTTCGCTGCGTTTATTGCTAGAGCTTTTTGGTGGGTTGACTGCTTTCCACATTGAAGGTCAAGAGTTTTTCTACTTAGTTGTCATTTTTCAAAGTGCATATCTGAAGGTTAGACTTTGAGTTTGCATTTTGTTAACATTATGACGAAAATTTTGCTGTTTGATGCTGTATTGCACTTTTAGGATACATCTTCTTCTTCTTCTTGGCAAGCTACGGCTTAAGCGCAGATTTTTTGTTTACATTTTAGTCCATATATATCTGAACTCTTCATATCCAGAAATCCGAGACAGTTTTTTTTTTTCTTTTTGGTGGTAAATTCAGATGCATTGAAATAAAAGTAAAAGACAGTAGGTTCAAGTACTTAGTTTAATACAGTCATCCTGGAAGTGCAACTCCCCTGAAATCATCAAAAAGATGGGGGAATACAAAATCAGGGCATGAATCAAAAGACTGGGATTGGTTGCTGCAGTTTCCTCCTTGCTTGGCCAATGCATCTGCGCAAATCTATTTGCTTCTCTGAAGTTATGGCAGAAATAGACCTGGGAAATACGAGACAGTTGATTTAAGCATGATGGCTTCAGATTAGTCCTTCGCAGTGAAATTGACTCAGAAACCACAAGGAAAAGTTTAGGACAAAACTTGGGTAGACCCAGATTTACATGTAGACGAGAGGTGGAAAATATGCCACATCACTGAAGTTAATTTTTTAGTTCAAAATGCTCCCTCAACAGCAGATCAGTCTTATCCTTTACATTTATTGGCTCCACTCCGCAATCCTCAAGACCTCAGTAATCGGTTTCCACCACCACCATTATCAACACTTCCTTATCACCTCCTTCTCCCCCACTCCCCATATCGACGGTCGCTCCTTTTCCGCTCCCTTTTTCCAAAATCGGCACCTACTGCTGTATTTCACGAACAGGTCCAGGCAGATGATGCGGTAATGTCCACAAGTGGAAAGAAGCTTCTAATTAGCACATAAAAAACATTGTCATCTTGATTGTTTGTTGTTTCCTCATCACATGGATGGATCCCGAGCAGCAGGCCAACAGTTTATTTATTTTGAGCTTTAGCATCAAGACTTCTTGGCACTAATCCCGTCCCACTCCCAAGTTTACAGCTCACCATGCGATGAAAGAATTTCATGATTATGTGAATGATGAATTTAACTAGTGCGTTTCTAATAATCCTAAGAATTTTGTAGTTGTTTTCCCCTTGACATTTTTTGGATTGAAAGAGGAAAGGTTGTGGATTTTTTAGGATCAACTTCTTTAATGTAGTAGATTTTGGACCACCCGATCTACTGATGAAGCCGTAGCCCAAGTTTATCTAAGGTTTTGCCGAACAAGTGCAATAGTTATCCACATTGATTTTGATTTGGCCGAAAAATGGCTAATGTCCTAAAAATTGATTTGACCAAGCATTACTTGTCAAGTCTTGAATGACAGCCATCTGTACCATCTTTTAGGAAACTTGTACTTCTCTCTCGTCCTTTGCCTTCATCTCCTCCGTATTCTGTGGCATAAAAAAGGAAAAAATTTGGTGCCAGCCCCTGTGCTCTTGTCCTAAAGTGGCAGAAGCGAATATATTGTATACAACTTTATCTTTCTTATTTGTTGACTACCAAGCGATTGTTTCTTTGATATACTTGTGCCAGACAATAGATATCTTTTTTTTCTTTGCTGCATATCTCTGTAATTCAACGTTCTTTCTGATGTTTTAAGGAAATTGGGTATTTATGTCCAACTTCAGCTTTCGCAGTATACAACGTTGAAGGGACTGCCACTTAATTTCAAGGCTTCTACTAGAAGTTAGGAGTATAACAATAGTTAAATCTCAGGAAATATGGCAGGCAGCTCCTTACTCTAGTAAATAGGCACCCATCTCTGGTTCTCCCCAAAGGCCAATATATGGGAAAAATTCATTGCAGATCATGTCATTGTAACTTTCTGCTTCCTTACGTTAAGAGCTGCCTGATCTGATTATTTACCATATAGGTGCTGCTTCTTTGACATGGATAAGAGCGAAGGAATTAACCTCACAGAGAGAGATTCTTCAGAAAGACTTCCTTCACTGATTGAACATATTGCTGCAAATAAAGTGGCTGGATTTGATAACATTAAGGGAAGAATGAACTGAATTATCAACCAGCTGCCATGTGTTCTCATTGTTTAAGCCCCTTAAGCATGGTGAGTCAATAGAAAACTAATGATTTTACCCTGTTCAGCAATAATATTATGTTAACATCTTGAATAGTCATGAGAATTAGCATTTTAGTTTTTGACAATCAAATGGTTCTTGTGTCTGCAATACTATTTATCTTGTATATGTTTCGACTCTTCCCTGATTTATAGAAGCATTTTTTGGTTGAGACTTTTTGGAAGTCAAGGCCTAAGTTGCTTCAGGAGCCATCAATATTAGTGGCCATTGTCAGACTCCTATAATTGCTTTTAGTTGACCTGTATTGCATGTCGATAATGTATGTTAGCTATGTTAAAGGGATATACTGGGTGACTGACATAGTAGATGTTGCATATTAAAATTATCTTTTACTCGTCGAGGGCCTCTTGGTGTATAACGTGGTCTTCAGGATTAATTTAAAGGCTAAAGGAGCCAAAGAATGAGATAGTAAGTGGCTTGAGCAAAGGCATGCTCTTAAGTAACTAACCATGATCATAATAAGGCCCTTCTTAGAAGCTTCGTGCTAAGTAAATGTCACTGATTATGATAGACTTGGCTCCAGCGTCCTTTTTTTAACCAATGGGACCTTAACCTGGTTCTCTTTTCATTTTCCCCATCTCTGACACAAGGGGATTTCTGCTGCTGGATACTCTTAGTTGCAGCATTGCATCAACTATTTCGATGTGGAAAGTTCTCTGTTGTTGTTTAATTTGCAAGACGGCAAGCTCCTGACACTCTTGTCATTGGGTTGCACTCTACTAATTGTTTCTGAAGTTATATGTTATGTTAATTTTCTTAGGGAACTGTGGCAGCAGCTGCAGATGGTCAGAGTGATCTTTCTCAGACTCAAAGACTGCATTCTGTTTCTATTAGCATGCCATCTACTCCTGCGGGAAATCATTCCTCAAATGCGAAAAAAGTACTCTTCAATGATAGTAATGAAATAATTTTCAGCAATGACGTTTCAAATTCTGCTGCTTCAACCAATTATGGTGGTGCTGCAGAACTAAAAACCACAAAGTTTCATTCTCAGCCAATGCCAACAGGTTCAACATCTGATGAGGTTGTCGCAAATGGCAAATTTCCAAGCCATCCAGAAGGTCCCCTTAGGAATCCTGCAATTAACGGACTAAAGGATAAAAGATTTGACACTTTCAAACTTGGTCTGGGAAGCTTGAGAGGCAAATATCCAATTTACGTGGAAAGAACAGGGAAGATACACATGATTCCAATCCGCAAGAGAATATAGAAGTGGAGAGTTTACCTGTGGACCGGTACTTTGATGCCTTGCAGGGGCCTGAACTTGATACACTACGGGTATGTATCTTTGCATATTCTGTTCTTCTTTTATTTTTGGTATCTGTCTAGGTGTAGTGAGATGGTTGTTGTGTATTCATCACTGAGATTTGCAACATTGACTTTCTGCTGTACAGCCTTCTGAGGAGATAATTCTTCCTGAAGATGAGCAGTGGCCCTTTCTTCTTCGCTACTCAATCTCTTCATTTGGTATCTGTCTTGGTGTTAGCAGCCAAGCCATTATGTGGAAAGCCCTTGCAACGTCTGCTTCCACAAAATTTCTGCACATATAAGCCCGATGTAAACCTAGCTTTGTGGTGCATATCGGTTGCTCTTGTTAGTAATCGTCTCTTCCATTTACTTTCTGAAAGTGATTTTCTACTTTGAAGCAGTTCGGCGAGAATACTATCACCCGATCCGTATCAATTTCTTCTTTGCTCCATGGATAGCACTTCTTTTTTTAGCTCTAGGAGTTCCACCATCAATTTCTGAAAAGCTCCATGCAACTCTATGGTACATTCTTATGTTTCCAATCTTTTGTCTTGAGCTAAAAATTTATGGACAATGGATGTCAGGAGGAAAGAGGAGGCTTTCAAAGGTGGCCAATCCTTCAAATCATCTCTCAGTTGTTGGAAATTTTGTTGGGGCATTGCTTGGCGCATCCATGGGGCTAAAGAAGGGCCTATTTTCTTCTTTGCTATTGGATTGGCTCATTACATGGTCTTATTTGTCACTCTCTACCAAAGACTTCCAACAAATGAGACACTTCCAAAGGAGCTTCACCCAGTATTCTTTTTGTTTGTGCAGCACCTAGTGTTGCTTCTATGGCGTGGGCAAACATTCAGGGATCCTTTGATTATGGATCACGGATTGCTTACTTCATTGCTATGTTCCTCTATTTCTCGCTGGTTAGTCCTTCTATTATGTGATTTCTCATACCTATGTGCTTTGCATTCTCAATTTTGTTGAGTATTTTATGCATGGATAGGACTTACAAGGTCTTTGGTGAGCTTGGTTGGCTTTAGCTATAACATTAACACTCAGATGAATGTTGTCTGAAGACTGAGGGATCTATAAGATAAGAAACCACTTCCCTACCCTTGAAATCGAATACCTTCCTGAGCATTGTTGTCGAAGAAAAAGTACTATCCTCTAGATAAAAAATGAGGTTGGAAAACTGGCCAAGGCTAGCTAGTTCATGTTAAAGTGGATGATCAAGTTGTTTCGCGAGCAACTTTATCTAAGCATATTCAATTGGTAAGAATAGGTATCTAATCATTTGCTTCTCCTCCTCACAGGCTGTTCGCATTAACTTTTTCCGAGGCTTCAGGTACGGTAAGATGTGTAATTTTTAACTCCAGAGATCTGTATCCAACCTACTTTTTATAGATTCCTGATATTCAATTTTTTTTTTTTGGTCTAATATAGGTTTTCTTTGGCATGGTGGGCGTACACTTTTCCAATGACTGGAGCTGCCATTGCCACAATCAGGTATTCAAATGTGGTAACCAATGTAGTGACAAAATGTTTAACTGTGATACTATGTGTTACTGCAACACTCACAGTAACTGCACTGCTCGTAACAACAATCATCCATGCTTTCGTGCTTAGAAACCTCTTTCCCAATGACATTGCCATTGCAATTAGTCAAGGAAAGCCTAAAACAACTCGACGATGGTTTCATAGAAGATCTGGCAGCTCTGATACTACTATTAAACATATTGAACACTACCTCAAGTTTGCAGATTCAGAAGAAAAAGATATTGAAGCTTCTAATGAGTCGGCAGGAAAAGTTTGAACTTCTGGCATAAAAAGAAGTCTACAATATTCAGTACTTCATCAGTTTTACAGGTCCTGAAGTACTTACAAACAGTCTATCAAGGGAGGAGCAGTAAATCTTGAAGTCCCGATGAACTTGATGTACAACTTTATCAATATGGTTTATGTAGCAAGGAGAGATCAAGGAAAATTTTCCACTTTCTTTGAGCTGTAAATTGTTGTATTAGAAACTCTGAAAGTCTGAACAGTTGGATATCTTTCTGAATAAACTAAATTTTTAGCATGGATAAGAGTAATAATTTAGTCTGTTAGTCACTTAGTCGTTGGATGAGTCTGTATCCCATAGAACATTGTAAATTGGCTGCGGGAGTAACCTAGCCATTGGATGCCAATGTTTGTTTAAAGATGGGATGAAAATCAAGCAAACAAATATCTGATGACTGGAAACTGGCTCATGGAAGGGTTTCAAACTCCATCCTGCCAAAAGAACAGTTAAACATTATCTAATGAAAAGACTTAACATCCGGTTCTTGAATCTTAACTATATTTCGGCTAAAGGGTTTCAAATCTCAATAATAATATATTAGGGGGTGTGGATTTAGGATGCAGAAGTGTGAATTTAGCTTCTTTCATAAGTAATCTTATTAATATAATTACGCAAAAGTCAATCTATTGTTACAAAAGCATAACAAAATTTACAAAGTTTAGAAAACAAAAAAGGAAATTAAAAAGGGCAAGATTGGAGAAAAAGGAGAATCACTATTATTACAAAAATGTAGAAGTAATATATTGTTACAAAGTTCAGAACAGTCACTATTATTAGAACTTCAAAATGTGCTGAATAAGGAGAACTGGACAATGACAAGAACAAGGGTGATTCCCCATATATCACTCTTCTACAACTAAATAGAATCAGTGTAATTTCTCCCACGTATAATTCTAGCCAGTATACATTCTTGTACCTGAGAATATAGGTTAGATGACAATGTATAAGACGAAAAACACCAAGCTTACTATCAGCAGGAAAATGAGTAGGGCATAAATTGAAGAGAAAACTAGAAAAACCAGAAGGACAATTAACAGCCCTAAAGAAAATAGTTTCAGTTCTTAGAAGGAAGGTGAAGAAAAACATTCAGCAACTTCATGTTTTTGTAGATTTTAATTTTAGCAATGCTAGAAAGTTCTATATCTTGAAATTCTTGTCAAATAGGTAAAAACTGACAAGTTGCAGACAAAATTAGACTTAAAAAACGGAAGAAAACATGATGCCAAAATCTGCCTTGTAAAATAATATTCCAGTCTCACGTTAATTAATTACCTCTTGCTTATTTCTGCCATTAATTTCAGTCTGCAATCTGTATTCTTCCATTCTCCAATGTGTTTTCTTAGCATGTGGTGGAGAACCTGAAAAAATAAGTCAAATAAATTTTGAAAGCAAATATATCTCCTTCTGAATTGTGAATTGGTTCTTCTTCTCCAATGAATCTCCAGAAACCGATCCCATTTCCAACCATCCGAGTTGATCTTGTTTTCCCAAGAAAATATTCATCTTTGTATATGAAGAAAAGCCATTCCCTTTCATTATCATTAAAAGTACCATTTCCCACTGCAAAACAAATTTCAACACAATGAGTTGTAAACATAACCAAAAAAAAACCATTCCATCAGAAAAAACAAAAACTTCAGTGGAATCTTTAGTCTTATTTCCAAAATCACAAAATTGCAACCATGATGTATACTGGAAGATGCCACTTAACTAGGAGTTGTCATGAACCAGGAATTGATCAAACTAGAAATAAATGACCTGAAGCGGAAATTGATGAAACTGGAAATAAATGAATTATCACGGGATGTATACTAGAATACAGATGGAGAATGAACTAGAAGGGAGAACGTAAGTTTAGATTGTTGCAATTCTAGTCATGAGTTATTTGCAATTCTGTTGTTTCTTATCCTTTCCATCTTTTGCAATTTTCTTGAATCACAACGTATAACGTATAATCTATAACCTATCATCGTGTAGTCTCATTATACCTAAGTGTAATCTTGATGTACCAAAACTATTGTTAAATATGTTACACAACTAGCATTACCATCTAAAAATAACAAAATTTTTGCAACTTCTTGCAACTTCCATAACAACTATATAAAAGAGCCCTACAAATCTGAAAAGCACCCTACAAATCTTTCCAGACTAATGTTACAAGCGCTATCCATACAGAATTAACATATAATCCATATGTAGAAGAATATAGATGTATAATCCATATGTATACTAGAATAAAGATGGAGAATGAACTAGAAGGGAGAACGTAAGTTTAGATTGTTGCAATTCTAGTCATGAGTTATTTGCAATTCTGTTGTTTCTTATCCTTTCCATCTTTTGCAATTTTCTTGAATCACAACGTATAACGTATAATCTATAACCCATCATCGTGTAGTCTCATTATACCTAAGTGTAATCTTGATGTACCAAAACTATTGTTAAATACGTTACACAACTAGCATTACCATCTAAAAATAACAAAATTTTTGCAACTTCTTGCAACTTCCATAACAACTATATAAAAGAGCCCTACAAATCTGAAAAGCACCCTACAAATCTTTCCAGACTAATGTTACAAGCGCTATCCATACAGAATTAACATATAATCCAGATGTAGAAGAATATAGATGACAGAGTGAGATGTACCTAAACATTTGGGATGTTTGCTATAGAGGTCGTGGGCATCAATTTCTCGGATGATCTTAACCGGGAGAGGTTTGTAGAGTACTTTGTTAGCCAGATAATACTTGACCAGCTCTTCATCAGTGGGCACAAATCTATACCCAACAGGCATCTCCAACTCCAACAAATGTTGGCTGGTTTCCATGAGAAAATGCTGATTTTGAGTAACAAATCAATGAAGAAGATGGACAAAATAGAGCCAAGACTTGAAAGAACGAAGATGGTAGTAGCTTTACCAACTGAAGCCCGTATTTTATATTAGCTTGTATTGAACAATTGCGCGTATACGTACGTTTCTTTTAGAAGGAAAGTTGAATCCTAGTACAACTTGGAGTATTTAAAGTCTACACAATTTTAGGCGACTTTTTCAATTGTTTGTGGCTAAGAAAAGATGAGAACGTATTCGTTTTCTGGTGAAGAGTAACCCTAAATGAGTTTCCTAAAACTGTGTGAATTGACTTTTTCAATAATTTCATTTCCATTTTTAATAGTAGTTCTATATCTAGACCAAAATTAACGTTAAAGGGAGATCACAATGGATTGAATATGCACATTCTACGTTCTCTGTATTCTATATGTACTAGTGACAAGGATACCCAATCAGTGTGTAATTTAGAAACAATTGCTTTTTATATAGAAGAATTTAATATAAAATTTTCATAAACACAAAAAAACTTTGATCTTTTTAAAGTTTTTTTAATCAAATTTTAATTAATTTGGTGGTTACAATGTTTGTGGGTGAGTATGGGTAAAAATTAGTTGTGTGATTATATTGGTTGGCAACATGTAATTAGATAGTAAAGATATAATATAGTGATTATCAGGGTAAAGTTGAAAATTCAAAAAGTGACAGAAGAAAAAGTTTACACCAAATCCAATACTCTCTCTTTATATATACTAGTGCTTGAGGCAACCCTAATGTGTCTGCATTTAATAAAAAGCATATTTATCAAAATTATCCCTTTATAATATTTTCTTATTGGTTATATTTTTTTTATAATGTAGATAATTGTATATAAATATGATGGAAGCTGAGCAAATTACATGGGAGTTGAGAGTTAGTGTAAAAAATTGGATAAGCTCAACAAATAACTCTCTCCTAATTGTGGGGAAGTTTGTTTAGTATACTGGGACAAATTTACCCTTGTCATTAAGGATAGATTAGGAATTTTAAAAAATAACACTATTTATCACACATTGATGCTTATTGTATAGACTAGTGTTAAGGGTACATTCAATGTGTGTGCAATTAGGGATCAATTAGGTGGAAAGTTTTGAACCTAGAACTTCTCATTTACACTCCCTCCATCAGTGCCATCCAACCAATTCCTTCTCCCCGATTTTATTCCCTTCTTAATAAACATTAATTGAGTCTTTTATATGATTGACATTTATATTTATTTGTACTATATAAAAAGGGAGAGATGGGGTTTGGAGTAACACTTTGACAGGTGTCGACCCTACACGGTAATAAAAGTCTTACCGGAGAAAATAAGATTTTGTATAGAGCAACAAGTAGAATCATCTCCATAGGGATTGGCGAGAAATTTGTTTCTTCTCTAGTAAGAATTATGGGGGATTTTAGAAAATTCAAAAATAACTAATTAATAAATAATTCATGAAAATAAACAAGAATTAATTCAATAATAAACATGACTCTAATCAAAGATACAACATTTCATATATGATTCACACAACTGATCATTGATGTAAGAATAGATTAATTACTCATTAATAGATTGGTTATAGCCATCAACAAACTCTGACAACCAATTTTTTCTTACTTTATTGATAATCAAGGTACGATCGTTAACTATTTCCCTAATCAAGAAACAATTCTAGGTATGACCATATGATTTAATTTTCTAATTGTATTAAAAACTAGAAAAGTCCAACCCTAACCAATAAGTATGCTACGAGAGTTTGTTTAATTTAGATCATACGTTTCCCTAACATGAAACCAATCACACTAGTTACCACTAGTATTAACCAATCAAACAGTTACATATTTAACTAGTTAATATGGCAGTAGATTATGAGGTTAATTTGAATATCAGCCCCTTGATATCCAAATAACAAAATAATCATAAGAAATTAAATAAAAAAAATATACAAATGCCAATGAATTAAAAGAAATAATTAAAAATTAATCTTCAAATAGCCAAAAATATTGTTGAACTCCCTATTTGGATTTACATCTATGGGAGGCAAAATAGATCATTCAGTAGTCAATTCTGTCAGACTGTATTCATTTCGAATTAGCAGAGAAAATTATCATTTAATTGGATCTCTCCTACCATCTGTTGAAGAATTAGGTAGATTCATACAACTGCATATTTTTTATACCGATAATGAGTTACAAAATCGTATGAATCTTCTAAATAGTCATGATGGCAATCCAATTGGAATTGATGCATCCGTAGTTGAGGGGTTACATAGTATGTTAGATGAGATCAACTCATATGTACAGGTATTTCAGAATGCTAGAGACATGCTTCGAAATCAAAATGTTTCGAATCTTCAAGTACAAATAATTTGTGCTCGAGGTGATAAACAATATATCCAACCAGCTGTAAATGAAGTTGCTGCTATACTCATAGGTGAAGATAGTGGGCATATTACACATCGTGATATTGTAGTTGTTGCTCGAGATGGAAATTTGAAAAGAATTAAGGAGACTTAACCATCTTACATGCCACTACAATATCCTTTACTATTTCCCTATGGAACAGATGGATGGCGATGTGGCATAAAATTTTCACGCTCTTCTACTAAGAAGAGACAATTTGTTTCAATCCATGAATTTTGTGCTTTCCGGATTCAATTTCAATACAATAAAGGTCATACACTTCTAAAAGGTGTTAAACTATTCCAACAGTTTGTCGTTGATTGCTATGTAGCAATTGAATACGACAGATTAAATTTCATGAAAATCCATCAGTCTGTATTGCGGGCTGATGTATATCAAGGTTTGGAAAATCCTTTCCTTTTCTTTTGCTTAGATTCAATCTCTCTCAGCCTTACTCAGTCTTTCCTCTCTTAGACCTCTACCCGAGAACCCCTTTCTTCCTCTCCCTTTTTGCTCTTGTTTTTCACTCTTCACCCCGGTTTCCCTCACTCAGCTGCCACTTTTGCTCTTTCACTCTCCTTAGCCGTCACACTTTCTTTTCACTCCTTCAACCCTTGGTTCCCTTTGCTTCCTTATATAGTAGTTGGCAACCTCAAAAATCCTGATCTCAACGGTTCTCCCTAAACCTCAGTTCACCGATTCTATTTTAGCCATCGGATTGGTTTCATTTCTAGATTCTTCTTGGTTTTTGGATGAAAGCCAGGTGGAATGAGGTTAACATGATCCAATGGTGAAAGAAAAACCATGGGAAAATGGTGGAAAAGAAAATGGAACCAAGCGATATCTCGTTTCTGTACCTTCGCGCATGGTTTCTGATATGAAACTAAAGAAATGTTTGGTTCATGTGAGCTCACGCGCGCGTGGCTTTAGTCTTTTTTAAAAAAAAAAAACTGATTTTCATCATTTTTTCCTCTCTTTTCCTTTTCATCAGAAACAATTTGGGTAAACAAACAAAAATACATTGCCATATTTTCATTTATTTCCAATGAAATTAAATCTAAAGGTGAGGCTAAAAACAAATTTCCAATTTTTGTGAGAATTTTTTCTTTTCAAAATTTTGATGTAAAAATCTCTTAAAAATGGAAATAATAAAGCTAATTAATGAAATAAATGAAAATAATAAAGCTAACAAATAAAACAAAAATTGAACTAAATAAGGGATAAAGCTAAAAAATCAAATAAATGAAATTTTTGGTGTCTACAGCTTGCCCCTCTTTATCTAAGTTTCAAAGAATCTCAAGACAAAGACGTAGACACCAAATACCTACATGTGGTTATTCTAACGTGAGCTGGAACATGTAAGCATAGAAAGGCTAGTGGGATAAGAACCCGAGCCTGCGGTATAGTAACCTCGTCAGTGGGATGAAAAACCCGAGCCTGCCTTCACTTGGTTAGTGGGAGCCTGCCTTCACTTGGTCAGTGGGATGAATACCTGAGCCTGCAGTATAGTAACCTCGTCAGTGGGATGAAAAACCCGAGTCTTCCTTCACTTGGTCAGTGGGATGAGTACCCGAGCCTGCCTTTACTTGGTCAGTGGAATGAATACCAGAGCGTGCGGTATAGTAACCTCGTTAGTGGGGTGAAAAATCCGAGCCTGTCTTCACTTGGTCAGTGGGATGAATACCCGAGCCTGCCTTCACTTGGGAAGATTTGTGCAAAACTTTTTGTAGAATTTCGAAAAGAAAGACAAACGATTTCTTCTAAAAATTGCCCCAGTGTAATGCTATTGGGCTGTCGGACCTGCAAGAAAAGAAATAATGATAGATAATGCCACCACCATCCAATCAACCCCTTCTTCAAGAAATGTGTAAACATGAGTATTTGGACTTCTTATTTGATGTAGCGAGTACTTCAATCTTGCCCTACGAACAATATCAAGCTTCCATAATTTCTCATACTTAAATCAACATGTTATTTAGTATCCATTTACTTTCGATAAATCATAGGGATTGCCGTTTGATAAAACGAAAAAGACAAATGCGACCATGAAACACATGAAAAAATATTCTAATTGCACATAATGATGAAAATTCTAATAATATAAACACAACCATCTACTTTTATTGAACGAAAAATCATTTCAAATAAATAAACTTGTATACTCAAATTCAAAAGCTTGTGTTTGACAAATCGAGCACTTTGGTTCTCGAACAAAATGCTACGTTTGACCCTTTGGATATCATTCTTCCGGAGTTCAATGCTTGACAACAGAACCACAATTTGAGGAGAAATTCCAATGAACTAAGTCACCAGCTCTTCGGATCCAAGCTCACTTTTTCTTATAAAACCCTACCTCAGTGCCCTTTCGGGTTTTCACTAAGGTTGCCCCTGCCCATTGTATTTTCTTTTCTTTTTTTTTTCATTTTTCTTTTCCCTTTTTCTTTTTCTTTTCTTTTTCTTTTGTCTTTTTTTTTTCAAAGGTGCCCTTGCGGGTTTTCACCTAACAAACAAATCTTGTCTACCGCCCATATTAATTCAGAAATGTGTTTTAAGAAATAATGGCATCAGTATAACAATCCTTCCCTTGCAAAATAGGTGAAGGTGTTTTTGACATCATGTGC